CTGAATATTTGCTGTTAGATTCTCCAAGCCACCACCATTGATGTGTGTAAATTCATCTCTCTGTGCTAGGCCCTCCACTGCCCTCCATTTTGTGGTCACTCACAAGAGGAGAAAGTAAGCACAAAGGATCAGGCTCTTGGGAGGTGTGGTGTGAGGGGCATCCCCATTATAAACCCTGTCTACTGCAGGCTAGGCCACTCTCAGAGACCTTGTCTCCACCAGCACCTTTCTTCAGAGCTCCCATACTCATCCTCTCTCCAGGGGAGAAGCCTCCTGGTGGGAGGCAGAGGAGGGAAAGTGAGCACAGACAGGTTGCAGCAACTGCAGGTTTTCTACTGCCGTGCCTGCAGACAGGAGTCCCATAATAATTGCTAGAGCATGCAGACACTGGGAGGAGGCTTGGGGAGGGAAGCAGGACTGGATAAGGCCCGGCTCCAATGCCAAAGGAAACCATCTCTGTGCCATGGAGACTGTGCTCTTTCTGAAGGTGATTACCTAACACAGGCTGTCAACATGGGGGGAGGATGGAGGGATGGGCTGGAGGGATCAAAGAGACCCTCTCTGTGAGAGACCAGGAGTTCCCTACTTTCCTCTGTTTCCTCTCTGTACCTGCTCTGGCTCAGCCTCTGGGGCACAAGAAGCCAAGCCCATCCTAGGAACTGTGGGTTCCCCCCGCTCCACCAGCTGACTCTCTGCAAATAGTCTTGAATGAACAGCTCTTGGGCTTTAAACCTGAGGTAACCAAGAACAGAAACTGCCCCTCCCCTGGTACATCCCATATTCCTCAACTGTGTGGCACTTTAGGGAACAAATACCCTGTTATTGTGAACGAGGCATCACCTTTCGACTTTGTGTCCAGTTTGCCCTGGGCTCCAGCACCCACCAGGGTGGGAGCTGCTACACTGCAACCTAGCGAGGCCAAAGTCTCCTGGACTGAGAGGGGGTTATAGTCAATCCCTGGGCATTCACAGTGATCTCCCACTGAGTCCTGTCCTTCCCCATGCCTACACCATGTGGGGCTTGTGCTGCTTCCTCCTCCTCAATCCCTGCCTTCCCTTCCCACAGTGTCAGAGTTGCTGCTGTCTGACATGGGTCCTGTGGGGCAGCGTCACCACCTCACCCTCTCTGGGACTAGCTCACACAGGTCTAGCCCCCATCCTTTAGTCTGGGAGTCTCTGTCCTTCTGTGCCCCTCTACCCCTTCCCCATTACTGCACCATCCAGCTCTTCAGCTGCCTCACCAACTGTGCCCCTTTCTCCCTTGTGTCTAAATCTCTTCTCTGAGCCTTGCTCTCATTGCCTCCCCACAAAATGGGCTGTGAGGTAGTGTCTTCTCCTCCCCCATTGTGCTGTCTAGGAGGTCTAGGTCCCTCTAACCAGTCTTTCCAACCTGTTCCTGAATCTGCCCAGCTGTTTTATCTGTCTATCTGTCCAGTTTCTCTTCTCCTTTGTCTGTCTGTCTGTCTGTCTCCCTCCTGCCTTTCTTCCTCTAGCCCAGCTCCTAACACTCCTCTCCTCTCTTTTTTTCTGTCTTACCTGTCCCCTCAGGCCTGTCAGGCTTACTGTCAGACTGGTGCCCTGACCTGCTTTCTCAGTGCTTTCATGCCTGCATTTATGACTGTCCAGGCACTCCATCTGGGGGGAGCAGAACTGGCATCTGGCAAGACCCAGGATGTCAGCAGCCACAGCAGCCCTGGAGGAGGCTGGGCCTGAGCTTTGGAGGTGAATTCAGGCTCGGAGAGATCTGAGTCCTAACGGTGCAGCGGGCTAGTGTGTCTCCAGACAAATCTGACTCCACCTGGAGCTGCCATTGCTGCTTCCCCCCTGTATGGTTCCAGATGGCCTGGATCCCGAGAGTTTGGGCAACAAGCTGAGACCATCTGCTGTGCAGAAGCCACACAGTGGGAGGTAGGCCCCAGCTCTGCCAACACAGGAGCTGTGTACCCCGGAAATGCCCATGAATCCCCACCACATGCACTCCTAATCTGCAGAAGCTGACAGCAAGGAAGTGTGCAGCTTTTGAGGACTGGTGTTTATGTTTTTCCACAGACATGTTACTGCCTGAGGGAGACATTTATGAAGCTGAGAGGTGAGAGCTGGTTTCCTGCCAGTTTCTCAAGTCTTGGGAGAAGGTGATACCATAAGGAGGCCAGATCCCAGGGCATTTCAGCCCCATAACCCCTTCACCCTAGAGCAGAAGGGTCATCCAGAGCAATCACACTGCAATGGCTGACCTGCTGAATCCATGCAGAACCTCACAGATTTGGAAGCCAGTAGGGACCATTATGATTCTCTACTCTTACACGGCTCCAGCCAACACACGCACTGGGAAGCCAGCCTAAAATGAAGCTTTAGCACTGCCCTGCTGGAGAAGAGCAGTGTGATCTTCAGGTCACAAATTCAGGACAGCATGTTCAGCCAAAAGGAGAAGGAGCACTCAGACTGAGCACTGAGGAGATGTGTCCTCCAAACCCAGCATCCCAGTCTCCAACCTAGCATCCATTCCCACCACCTGTAGTTCACCAGTCTGAAACCAAACACTGGTTCTTTCCACCATCCCACAATCCTTTGCATCCACCAAAAGCAGTCATATTTGAGCTGGCATTCATCTAGCTAGCACATGTAGCAGTAATGAAGACACAGATGCTTGGTTTTCAGCCACCAGAAAATATGCCCCAAGTTCCCAGAGAGCTGGTACAGGTAGTTCTTGAGTGCTATGTCTTGGCTGACAAGTACACAAGGCCAGATTCAGGCCTCCTATAGGGACCAGGGCAACCTTTCACCAGGACCGAATTAAGCCTGACATATTTGTCAGCTCCCAGGCACGGTGCCCCGGAGCTAATGCTATTCTGGGGTAGCCTGAATACATTCAAAACACTCCTATGGCCCAGCAAAAGGATCTGGCCAGTGCCCTATGGACAGCGTGTTTGTCACTGCAGCCCTCTCCTCAGCCCCACAGTGAAGCATCTGTGCTCTGAGAGCCCCAGCACAATGGCTTCACTGTGTGCAAAGGAAAGCTAACAATCCAAGAGGAAACACATACCACTGACACTGGCTGCCAGCACAACCAAGCAATCCAGCCTTTCAGCCCTGCCCGGATGGGATTTCTGTTATATGGAGGAGAGGCTGCCCATTCAGGCCTAACTCCAGTGGGTCAGGGCTCAGACTGCTTCCCATCAGGTGGGCCAAAGTGGACAGGCCCCAGTGTCTGCACTTCAGCTATGGTCCCCACCATAGCTGGAAACCACACCTCAGTGCCACTTCCTCAGACATGCTTGGGAGACCAGGTCCTGAGCATTGTCCCTAAAGAAGTGTCTAAACCTGGCTGCTTACAAAACAAGTTGTTCTAACTGTCCCAACAATCCCAGTCCTCAGTCTGCTGTGCACATGGCCTCTGTTCTGCCCTGAGCTCTTCAAACAACCCCCAGTCCCAGCTGGTCAGAGCATGGGTACATCATGCATTAAATCCCAAATGTATTCTCTCTGCTCAATCAGAGTTTGCCAGCCACACCAAAGGTAGGGGATGTCACAGAGCCAGGCCATGTCAAAGCTTACCAAATCCAATCCAATATGGAGAAGCAAGGAGGTGAGCCTGTAGCCACCTAGTTGTCTCATGGTGGGGGAATAAATAAATGGCAGGGCTAATCTGTATATGCAAATGAGAAACCCTAATGCACTGTGTCACAGCCAAGCTAAGAAAGGTGCATCTGGGAGGTTTCCAGGATTCCAAAAGAAAAACCAAGAAAAAAATACTCTTCCTTTATGGGCTGCTCCTTCAGCATTTCTACTGCAAAATGGCACATAAAGGGACAGTGTCACAGGGCAGAAGATGCTGCTGCAAATAAATTGTGATGATGCCTAGGAGATGAAAGCACAGAAACATGAGAGTTTATTGGCAGCATCATCTCATCACAGTCTTCCTTTTGCCCAAAACCAAATCAACGCCACCAAGAAGGTGCCAACGAATCCTTGTATATGAGGTACCTTAGAAAAGACACCCCAGGGGATGTCAGCACATCTGCCACATTGTGAAAACATCCCACCAGTAGTCTGGAGATTTCTGCAGTCTCTTGCTGGTAACACACCCTAACCTGGGGTCCTGCTGAGTGCAGCTGAAGCTAGCTGTCTTAGCCAGTGCTCAACACCACCCTCCACAGCATCTGACCTCCTTTCTCAGTTGTGGCCCTGATTGCTGGCTTTTCTATTTCCTGTGTCCCAATCTCCTGTAATCACACTGCACATCTGTCACAGTTTCCTCTAATGCCCATAGGCCTTTCCAGGAGATTCTCTGCCTTGGTTGTAGGCAAAGAGTAGAAGGAGGAGCACTGTGGGGTGGTAGGAGACACACACACACACACGCACGCCTTCTGCAGCCTAGAGCCGCCAATTCCTCTCCCCCCAAGCTGCAGAGAGGATGAGCCTTCTGCTGTTCAGCCTAGCAAGAAGGTAACTTACAGGTGCTCTGAAGTGTATGCAGGACTTGGGGGTGGGGAAAAAGTCAAAGCAGGCCGAGCCCAGCTTCTAGGCCACTGCTGGGAGAGGGTCGGTACCCCCCGATATGCCCCGACCTTGAGATAGCCTAAGACAGGCTCAGCTTCTTTGCTTAAGTTCTCAGCAGGGGCTGGGATGAGAAGAATGGGGGGTCCTGGTGATCCTACACAGCTCAGCAGCAGAAGGCACTGCCCTTCCACCCTTTAATCCCCTCATCAGCAGCACTTTGATTAACTGCCAAGCAACATGACCACCACCACTGTCCAGGCCCAGCCCCTTTCCACCTGAAGATGCCAAACACCTTACAAACAGTAACAAAATTACCTCTCAGGACTCCTGAGCTGTAAGCAAACATGTACAGGACAGCCTACATAGACACTATTTTGCCTCATATGAAAAGCCTTGGGAAAACAAGTATTTGACTGGTTGGTCCAGCTGGTCCCGAGTTCTGGCCCACGATCTCTTCAGGACTGTACCCAGACACATGGGCTTGTGGAGCAACAGTCCTACCTCGTGTGTTGGTGGCCATGTCAGCCACTTTCTGGAAGGCATCCAGGAAAGCAACAGCTGCCAGCACTGTAGTCCTAAGACAGAAACAGATGGAAATGTAAGTGAAGTGGAAGTGTGAGGGAGAGGGCCAACACCGCTTCCCCTGACCAGTTATAGCAACATAGCACAATCTATTGCAGTGGGTCTGACCCAGCTACAGCTAGCCCAGCATTCCCTAGCCAGCAATGTTTCAGAGGAAGATTTGAAGATTAAACAAACAAATTAGCCCATGGAAGGAAATTCCTTCTCAATCCCTGCATAGTTTGCAAGAGTGAAGTTCTACCCCTCCTCTCCTGGGCCCAAAGGAGGAAGCAGCAGGCAATTAAAGATGTCTTTGGAAGTGGAATTATAAATAGGAATGTGTCTAAACACCAGTTGCCAGATAGAGGCAGGGTCACAGAGTTTGGCAAATTAAGGGTTAAAACTATGGGGATTTACACGAGAGGTGGGACTGTGGGGTCTCTAGAGGTACCCCAGCAAACACACTGTGCAGAGGGTTCTCAGGCAACCAGGCCCAGGGCATGGCTCAAAGAGAAGAGTGGACTTCCGATGAGTAACAGCTACTTTCTGACTTCACCATGACCTCCTTAGGCAGTGGCCCTGGCTTGGAGACCTCTTGCAGGTGCAAATCAAGACAGTTACTTCTTTGAAAGCAATGGTGTCACCCTAAGAGACTCACACTGTGCCCAGCCCTGCTTCGCATCAGCATAACTATCTGCCTAAAACACACACTGGCTGACCAGGAAGAGAGGGGCCCAAGACAGCTCCTCAAAACACCCACCAGTTTGGAGGCTGTGCATCCCGCAAAAAAGACTGCAGATGACACCTTGCTTTGAGGGAAGCCTGCCTCAACTGGTGACAAGACAGCCCCACACCCTGCCAAGACTGGGGAGAGCCTTGCTAGCTCAGAGCCCTCTCCTACTGCTTCACTTTCACCCTACAGAGATTAAACCCCATGATTACCAGTAGCCTGCCTTGGAGTCTTCATCAGCTTCAACAATCCCATTCTCCAGCCCTGCCCTCTACCCTCCCAACCCCATAGCAAAGCTCTTCCCAGCCACCGTTGCACAGCTCAGACTGAATGGCTGGGAGGCAACTGACCATGGACCCATTGGGTAGCAAAGATGTACAACACCCAGCCCTACTGGGCAGAAACAGGGGTGTAATGTCCTTTGCTAAAGTACATGCCCAAGATCTTGAACATGGTATGAGATGTGCTGGTGCTGGGCTTGGGCAGATGACTCCTGTTGGACAACTAGTGGTGACAAGGCAGGAGCAGGCAGAGGGGGCAGGCTGTAAGCCCTGGCTTTGGGGCACTGTTCTTTGTCTCGACACCTGTGTGCAAAGAACTGTGCCTACCAGTGAGGCTACACTATATGGCTGGGGTTTCACAGATACCAAGAGGCAGTTGGCTGGGCATATTCAAGAGCATCCATGTTTATAGTAAGACTTGTAGTGGACTCTTCTATGCATGATTGAGAATTGGAAGGTGGCTTTCAAGCTGAGGCCAGCTGCAGTGGCACTGACCTGTGCCAGATTAGACTGTTACCTGGCAATGACAAATTTCAGGGGTGTTTTAGATGGTGGTACACAGAATGCAGATTTGGACTTACAGGATGCTTAACACATTTATGGCCAGGTTTAACATGATACTGGAGAAGTTCTGGCTCTCTCACCACCTAAGTTTGGACTTCCATGTGTTTGTAACAAAGATGTCCAGACTGTGACCCCTGTGTTAAATCCATTCCCTAGGGAACTGGATGGAATTCAGGCAGTGCGCTATTTTCTATTAGACATCAAAAGCAGAGTGATACCATGGCAAAAGGACCTCAGTTTAGTAAGCTAAGGCCTTCCCCATGGCACTTTTCACCTGCAGCTCTCAAAGTGTTTTACAGAGGTGGGAGAGCAGTCATACTTTTAATTTCACAGATAAGGAAACTGAGGCATTGTGTAGTCTGTAGCCTCATTTTCAGATGGGCTGAGCAGCCATAGAACTATTGACTGGTAGGACTTAAGTGAGCTCAGCCTTCTGAAAATCAGTCCTTCAGTGACTTACTCAAAGGCAAGGACTGAAGCCCAGGCTGTCTGAGTCTAGTATCCTTTCAGTGGGCCACAAGGCTTTCCATATGTACAGACTGGGTGAGCTGTATGAGTATGCCAGGGACTAGGGGGAACAAGCTAAGGCTGGACCCAGGACAGAAATACAGCAGAGCCTGAGAATGGTGGAACTAACAAAGCCACTGGTTCAAACTAAACCCCTTCACTCAGTGTGAAATGCAAGCACCCACTTCCCTGGAGCGCACACTCCTGGGCAGTGTACGTGCCATGCCTGTCACTAGCATCAGATCCTGGGAAGAGCAAAGCATATCCAGGAACCCATGCGAGGTAGGCAGGGCTGACACCATCCTATTTATTAGCTAGTGAGGACACTCCTTCCCAGATTCACCACTGACTGACAGCCTCACCACAGCACGGTCTGTTTTGGAGAAGAAAGGGGTGGGAGAGCTAGGCCTGGTTTGGAGACTCAGCCTTCCTCTCACTGGGGATGGCTGCCCTCACTCCCTAGCACGAAGGCAAAAGTTATGGAGTTGGCCTCACTTCATTCAACCAGCATGAACGAGCCATGCTGTGGAAACAAACACCAAGGGCAAAGCATGACTCTTGTGTCACTGGCAGCAGAAAAACTATGCGATAGCCCAGCTGCTTAAGAAGACCATGAGGGAGCACAAAGAGGGGCACTGGCAGCATAGGAGAAGCAAAGTGCCAATTGCCGAGGAGAGAGAGGCACAACAAGCATTTCTTTAACAGACTGGAGGGCTGAGAAACCAGGGAGAACCTGTGAGGTATTAACAGGGCAGCTGAGTGAGGAACAGCTCCAGCTGAAGGGCAATGAGCTAAATGGCCTCTTTGTGTGGGGGTTTCATAAGGAACAATGTGCTCCCAGAGGAGGAGGAGGAGAAGCTTGTAGCACTGGTGAGGAGAGACTAGAGGAAAGTCCTGAAACCTGGACCTGAGGTCAGCAGGCGGCTTGAGAGCCTTTGGTAAAGGTAAAGGGCTGGAGAGCCCTGAATAACAGGCAAGAAAAGGGCCCCAACTACTGGCCAATGAACCTGGCAGCAGGAGTCTAAGCTAAGAGGTACCTTCTGGGCAACAAAGAAAGGCACAGAGGGAGGAGGGAGGAAGCCGGTAGGGAGATGGTGCTCTAAGTGCCCTCAAAGCTTGGCGCTTGTCACAAGCTAAGACACGCCCTGGGGAAACTGAGGCAGCTCACAGAGCAGCTCTAAGTTCTAGCACCAGTTCCTGTTGACAGCTCCAGCTTCCAGGGGGAGCTGGAGTGTCTGCAGCAGCATATGCTCTTGCCCTACCCCATCTCTCCTTAGCATATGCCCAGTATGAGGTCTTGCAAGGGATCCTGTCTAAGGCCACCGGGAGCAGCACTAGACAGTACCTAGACTCAGCTCAGGAAATTCTCCTCACCGTACACCCCCAGAGTCCCACAGAGTGGGGAACTCTCTCCCCTGGGGTTCTGAGCCTGCCTGGCACTGACTGACCAGATGGCCTCAGTCAAATTACCTAATTTTGGCCAACAGAGTTTTGTTGTGAGATTAACACCCCAGGTCTTTAGCACTTGACACTGGCCTAACTACAAAGCAGACTTTTTAATAAAGCCATTCTGCACAATCCCCCCAGTGCACTTTACAGCAGGACAGCTAGGTTGGTCACAGCTGCATTCAGGGAGTGCTGTGTGGAAGCCTGAGCCACTCACCTCAGCTGGGAGTGTAGCTTGGTCGCCTTCGAGTTGAAATCTTCCCAGATCGGGTAGGAGCTCTGAAACAAGAGGGAACAAGGAATAAGATGAATCAATGGAAAAAAGCTGTCACACATGCAGACTCTTTGTACCAGTCCCACCCCTTCATCCTGAGGTGCCTTACAGAATGAACCAACATGGCCATGAATAGACTCAAGCACACCAGCATGTGATCCCAGACCAGTACCTTCCCTTCATTCATTCAATCCCTGATGGAAGTGGGTCAGGTCCCATTAGCTGAACATCCCCAGTGGTCTCTGTGAAGACCCAAATGGCATCGACAGGGGATTATTTTAGCCCACTAAAATGCAGAACATCTCAGTACCACTGTCAGGAAGGAAGCATGAGGAGGGAGAGTTAAAGGAGAAGGAAGAAGGCTGAGGCGAAATGGAGGGAACTCTGCCATTCCTTTCTTGCCCACAGCAGAGATCTGACATTGCAGACAATGATCGGACTCAGAGGACTCTTCCCAGGAGAGCTGCTGGAAGAGCCCTGGGGTCTCCTCAATAGTAGGGAGGAGCTGTGGGCTTCTATCTCTTTTTAGACTGAGAGACAGGCTGCTTCCCTTCCCCCAACTCATTGATAATGCCCAATCCCATGAGCTCTTCCTTCTCACACAACCCAACCATACTTTTGGCCCTGTCTCACCATGGAGCCATACCACAGCTGTCCGTGTTGTTGCATCAGGGTGATGTTTGCCCAGGAATTTTATTCAACTAAGGGCTCCAACTCCCACATCTTTAGGTACTGCACAGCTAATACAAGTACCAGAGAGCCCCACACATCACCTAGCAGAACTAGATGCCAATATAACATCAAGGGTCTGCAGTGCAGGAGCTCATGAAATGGGGGCAGGAGAGACGGGGTGACTGGAATGATCCTTGATTTTCTATTCCGGGTAAGGGGCAAGCCCTCCATTTCCAAGTTTGCTCTGCTAGCTAGCAATTTAATCATCTCTCCTGCAAATGGCAGATTTACTTTGTGGCAGAATGCCATCTCAGTCTCTCCCCAAACTCTGCTGTCAGGCTTATTGCCTATCTGACAATTTGGTTACCGTGGTCACTGTAGAGGGCAGGCACACCTGCCCCCATCTGCTTCAGGTAACCCTGAGTTGTAACCTGAGCTGGCTACATTACAGAGGGAGTAGGGAATCTGCTCCCTTTGCCTAGGTGACTGGTCTTACACACCTGGGTCGGGGCTTAAACTCCCTACTGCTCTAAGCAATGAAAGCAGGACTGGGAGAGGGCTAGAGACCCTGCCAGTCTACCCAGCAACCAGTGATGCATTTCAAATTGGTTGGCTGGCAGTCAACAACTGCTGACCTTCATTGAATCAGGTAAAAGAGGTCATAAGGTCTATATAAGTTAAAGACTGCCTAGGACAAGGGGCAGCAGCCATGATGAAGACAAAGAGAGCAGCTCACCTCTTTGTCTTGCTCTCTTGAAACATATGGACACACTAGGAACTGCCCACCTCTGGAGGAAACGATACTTCTGAGTAAGTTACTTGAAATCTAACTAGATACAGGCAGCCCTTGACTTACAACGTTTTGGGTTACAACGTTTCACACTTACAACATTTATAAATTGACACCCTGTTTCACGGT